CTCCACTGAGATCTGAGTTTGATGAGCAAGTTGAGGTGACAGATTATAGAGGTAGCACTGGCACCAGTTGTTCCGTGTGTCCCTCCACCTTTTTGAAAAGCTCAGGTATTCACCAGAATATAATGCATTTGGATTATTTCTTTTTCATCAGGAACTTTAGTAGGATGTGTCACATGGGACAGCTGCCCCAGAGAACAATCTGTATTCATGGCTCCATCTATGTTGTCTAGTATTTTAGCCACTAACTACATGTGGCTTTAGAACATTGGAAATGTAAATAGATTGATGAATTATATTCTTAATTTTCTTTCTGCTTAATTAATTTAAATGTAAACAGTTACATGTGACTATAGGTATTGTTTGGACAGTGTAAATCCAAGAGGCACTCAGAGAGGCATGTACTGAGAGCAGAAATGAGTTGGTAAAAAAAAAAAAGAGAGCTAGTGTGACATAAGGAATACTGGATTTGGAAAATCTCAGCTCTGCCACTAGGGAACCTTGCACCCTCTGGGTTCCCCCTTTTCATCTTTGACTTGAAAACTTGGACTGATGTCATAAATACTCAAATTATGACTGAGGACAGGCTTCAATTTTGGAATATACGAGTTTCAGGAAAATTAAAAAATATTAGGCTGTCAGAAAAGTCATGATACATTTTTCTATGCAAAAATGCATCGTGACTTTTTTGATTGCCCAATAGCATATTAATGCCTTCAAGGTGTGTGTAGTGTGTGTGTGTGTGTGTGTGTGTGTGAAAGGGGAGAGAAAGAGAGAGAGAGAGAGAGAGAGAAAACAGAAACAGGAAGGATGTAAGGATTTCATTCAAGTGTTAACCATTCTTACACACAGAAAAGTCATAGGGTTAGAAAAGTTACAGGCTAATTGCATCTGTTTCTCATTTAGAATCTACCATGAAACATACAAATTCACACATCTGACTATATTACTTGTCTAGGCCCCAGTTGTATTTGAAACTGTGACCCCTGGATAAGATGATTTTTAAAAACCTTTCATTTTTTTTTCATGCTGTGAATCTTTAAACCACTATAATGCCCCAAATCTGTTTCCAGTTTTGGCAGATGACTGGAGTATTCTCATTCCTTGTTATCTCTTCCCAGTTTTGGCAGATGACTGGAGTATTCTCATAACTTGTTATCTTTTACCTTCTGGATTTGATGCTAGTTACTGAAGATTAGAATCAAAGGTGAATATGTGAGGCAGGGAGGATATAACTCTAGCCCCACTCTTCAGTTCTGCTTTTAGGCTAAAATTAGGGTTCAGGCCTTCAAATTTTGGGGGAGGCAGCATAATATAGTAAAGAGAGCATGGGATTTATAGTTAGCAAAGAAGATTCAGATTGTTGGGTTTCCTTTCTTGATAGCTGTGTTACTTCAGTTTAGTTATTTGTAAAACAAGGATAAGAAATATCACTAACCAACTGAGATCACTGGGGAATTAAATGATGTAATGTGTTTTTGAAGTGAGGAAGATAGGATGTCCTAAAAAAAAAAGTAGTTACCCTTATTTTCTTAATCGAGGGCTAATTACATCTCTCTGTCCCAGGTTGGAAGGGAGACTACATGGTCTTCCAACTTCTGATCTCAAGGCCAGAAATTGCTACTAATGGAGAAGGTAGTGTCTGCCAGTAGGAACTCCACTTGGAGAGCAGATCTGCTAGTTTGTGGAGCTGTGTACAAGAACTCATGCAGCAATGGGTTCACCAGATGTTGAGATACTGTGGGAGCCAGGAATCTAGCTCTGGAAGAAGATGGGCTTGGCACAGACGATAACCTCTTAGCCTGTGCGCTTGGTAGGAGTTAGGAGTTGATAGTGGGTGTGCATATCTCTTCATTATCCACTGTGCCCAATCCTTGCAAAAATGATTGTCAGACAAGGTCGTCTTGTACTCAGGTTTAATTTCCCAGGCTTCCTTGTTATTTTCCTCTGAGTTCTTCTCTGTGCTCCTCTTGCACCATCAACCCTTCCATTTTCCTGTTCTCTAACCTAATTGTCGATCTGAACACGTGATTTGTTCTTATATTAATTTACTGAATGAAACTATGGTTGGAGTTCACATTGCAGGATTTATTTTTCTAATTAGAACTGGAATTTGGTTTCAAATATCTTTTTCTGCAGGAACCAGAAAAATATGAACAGTAGGTTTTGTTATATTGGGTCGTCGGGAAAATCATGATGCATGTTTGCATAGGAAAAACAGAAAAAAATCATGACTTTCCTGATGATCTAATATTTATCCTTTTAAATTGAGCAGTAATTTTTATATTTGCTTCATACCTTTTTAATTTATTATTATTTTGAAGGCATTAGAAATAAAGTGGTTTAAGTTTCACCCTGGTGCAACTGCTTATGTTAGACATCGGAATTCATGACCTTTTCAATCATTCATATTTCTCTTTATACAAATGCTAGGGGAAGTGGGAGAGGGAAAAAGAATAGGAAAGGAAATTAGGGGGGAAATAGAGGGGCAAGAAAACAGTACAAAGTAGACATCAGCATGCTCACAGATCTTTCATTTGTGTGTGTGAACATATGGGGAGGATAGTTCTTCTTTCTTAAAAAGAATTACTTAATCTTATTTATTATTATTATTATTATTTTAAATTTGCTAGAATATATGTGTACCCACCAGAGAGATAAAGACAGCAAGAGATAGAGGGAGAGAGAGAGGAAAAGTGGAAAATCACCCTCCAGGGAAGATGGCCATGTCCCGAACTCTTCTTTTTCTTCTTTTTTTTTCTTTATGCCATAATGTTTCTTTTATTTATTTATTTTTCAATTCTTTTTATACATTAAATCACATTATTTAGCTTACAAAGTGAACATTTCAATATGTGAACATTTATCCCCAGTCCAGTTGATCAAAATATCTTCAGCAAACCCTTCTTCTCAAGTCACCTCTCAGGATTTTGTGCATGCACACCTGCACACCTGGTGTGATTTTTTTTTTTTTGGAGAGATTTTTCACTGTAGGGCGCGTGCGCTCGCCAGACAGACAGAGAGAGACATAGAGACAGAAAGCGAGAAATCACCCCCCAGGGGGGATGGTCACGCCGCAATCCCTTCTCCTCCATTCTCTCGGGATCTTGGGCACGCACGCACACGTGCCCGGCGTGAGTTTTAAGCCACCGGGTCCGGGACACGAACCGCGGTCGACCACGTGGGAGTCCAGCGACATAGCCATCACGCTAACTGCTGGTTCCCACCTGGTGTGATTTTCAGGTTGTCAGATCCAGGACTCAAACCACACAGCCTTGTAGGATCCAGCACCTTAACCTCCACGCTACCTGCTGACCTGAAATAATGTTATTTCTATCATCCTTTCTACTGGCTGGCTCCTGGCATGGTTCCCATTTTACAGACAGATAAGGAAGCAGAGGCAGTCTGTTATTACTTTGATTCTGCTGGGGATTTCAGCCCTTCATTTTCCCCTGACCTTTTTTCTAAAGGAGAAAATTAGTACATGTGTTACAATGCATATTCAACTATAGGTTTAATTCTGACAATGTCTAAAGTTATAGTGCTTAATAGGAAATAGAATACCAGAAAATTCCCATTCATTGAGCTCAAAGTGAGATGATAGAATTTGGTAACCTGAGGTTAGAAGCACCTTCAAGGCTTATTTTAGAAACCCCATCACCTGCTAATGCTCATAGTCTTAACCATTATGTATTTAGTCTGTGATCATCTTGTGACATGAGTGTCTGGAAGCTTCTTCATCGTCAGAGAGCTTTAGCTATCAAAATGTGTGTTGAGGGAGAACTAAAATCCATGTTGGTGTACTTTTTGGTATACCTAGGGACCCAAAATGCAAATCTAGTCCTTCTTCAACTGAAGTCTGCTGGACTTTATAAACACATGTACATCACTCCCTTCATTTACAATAGTATTTACCTATAATTTACAAAATAAATTTCAAAATTCTTAATGTGATGTACATACCCCTTGAAAATCAGGCCCCATCTTTGTTTTTAACCTTGTAAATAGCCACTCTTCCCATATATGCAATATATACCCCATCCACACTGGCCTCTAGTTGTTCCCCTAGATCCTCCTCAGTGCTTTTGTTTATGCTCTTTTCTCCCATCTCTGCCTGGCGAAATCCTTATCAGTCTTCCAGCTGTAAGTGAAAGTTCACCCGCTATGGAAAGCATTTCCAAACCTCAACTATGCAAGAGATTATTGTTTTCCTCTTTTGTTGATGTCTCCATTGTAGCATTTAGCAGTCTGACATTTTCAAGAATTGTTTGTGGGCATTTACTTTTTTTTTTTTCACCAGACTAGAGCAGGGCTTGTGTAGTTCCTGTAACCCAGAAGCAAAGGTCTAAAAATTTATTTCTGTTGAATGAATAAATGATCATGAATACATTAGAAAATGAGTTAATCAAATGTCTCATTTATGAATACTGAAGGTTGTGTTCAGACAGCACCAAATCTAAACATATGCTAGGCAGGCTTTGCCTGAGGATCAAAGGAGAAAATAAGATATGAAAGTTTTGATTTAGCAGGAATTTGAAATGATGAATCATTCATTCAACCAATATCAAACGAACACTTGTTCTTAAGACATTTTGAGTATTTGACCAAGCAATTCATGCTTATTTTCAGTTTTCCTTTCTTTTTTCTTTTTCTTTCTCTTTTTGTTTTTTTGGAGAGGTTTTTGTTATAGAGTGTGTGCACTCATCAGAAAGACAGACAGAGAGACAGAAAGCCAGAAATCACCCCCCAGGGAGGATGGCCACACCGCAATCCCTTCTCCTTCATTCTCCTCTCAGGATCTTGGGCACACACGCACACGCACCCAGTGTGAGTTTAAACCACCGGGTCTGGGACTTGAACCGCGGCCAACTATATGGGAGTCCAACAACATAGCCATTACACTAACTGCTGATCCCTAGCTCAGTCAGTTTTTCTAACAGGGTAGCTGTGCTGTGTGTTTTGATCACTGGTGATAAATTCAAGTTTCTCTTCCTTCTCAACAGCCCGGAAGTTGAAGAAACTTGGTAATCTGAAACTACAAGAGGAAGGGGAGGCTTCCAGTGCCACCAGCCCCACTGAGGAGTCAACCCAGAAGCTTATGGTGTCACACATTGAAGGCTATGAGTGTCAGCCCATCTTCCTGAATGTCCTGGAAGCCATTGAGCCAGGCGTGGTGTGTGCTGGACATGACAACAACCAGCCTGACTCCTTTGCAGCCTTGCTCTCTAGCCTCAATGAATTGGGGGAGAGGCAGCTTGTACATGTGGTCAAGTGGGCAAAGGCCTTACCTGGTAAGGAAAAAGAAAAGGGGACATGGAATCAGGGAGCTTATAGTGACTACTCCAGTGGACCTGACACCATCTCTGGTACCTCCCTGTCCATTAACTCATGCAGTCCTCACCATAACCCTCTGTGGGAGATAATGACATAATCCTTACTTTAAGTATAAGAAAATAGAGAATCAGAAAGCAAGGGAAAAGTGTCCCATATGGCTCACGCTGATGCATAGCAGTCATGTTTTCACATTCAAACCAGACATGGATCACAAATTGCCCCATAATCACAAATCACATAGACATGCACACATACACCTTATGATACTCTTCTATAGCTACACATACAGGCACACCCCCCAAATAATCTTGAGCCTGACTGATATTATGCTTTCAGTGTCACTTTCAGAAGCTATACTGTGGGGATGCTCACAATATGATATATTAATAGTAGAAAGAATATGAGACTGGGAATCAAAACATTGGAGTTTTAGTCTTAACTCTCTTGTTAACTCATTACATGACCTTTCTCTCTTTTGGGCCTAAGTTTCTCTATCTGTGTAGAGTGAAAAGGGCTGTTTGGAACAAATTGATACTTCTCAATTTTGCTTCAAGGACCTTTAGTCTTCTTTAAACTGCCTTAGAAATCAGCAGGAGAAAAACTCAGGTGATACTGGAAGAACTACCAACTCTTTGTCTAACTTTTGCTTAGATACCTCCAGTGATGGGAACTCACTTTCTCCTTAGGACATCTGTTGTTTAAACAAGTCTGATTATTAAAATATTATACCTTAGGCCCAGCAGATAGTGTAGTGGTAATGTCACTGGACTCCCACATGGACAACTGTGGTTTGAGTCTCTGACCCAGTGATTTGAAAATCATGCTGGGCATGTGTGTGTGTGCATTCTCAAGATCCCAGGAGGAGAACAGAGGAGAAGGGACTGCAGTATGGCCATCCCCTCTGGAGGTGATTTTTCACTTTCCCTCTGTCTCTGTCACTCTCTCTCTGATGAGTGCATATACACTAAGAAAAAGATCTATTAAAAATTAATAAAATACTACACCTAAAGGAAGCCTTATAGAGCTTCTATCCAAATATTCATAATTTTTCCGTTAGCAGTCAAACACTTTTTCTCAAAACCATTGTACACAGATACAAGCAAGGGGAAATGGTTTATTTAAAACCAGTCTGTAGCTTGGACCTCACCAGTTCAGCCTCTCCTTTACCTCACCAGCAAAGCCCCAGGTCACTTGTGCAGAATCTTAGGGCTCCAGGAAACAGTTTTAAAACCAGTGAAGCATACATTCTTTAAAGTTTGGCCTAATCCTGAGATTATATGATTCAAAAATTCTTTTGAGGGACTACCAGGTGGTATAGTGGCTAAGGCACTGTACTCACATGGTCGACCAAGTTTGAGTCCCAGACCAGGCAGTTTGACATTCATGCCAGGTGTGTGTGTGTGTGTGTGTGTGTGTGTGTGTGTGCATACCCAAAATCCAGAGAGGAGAATGGAGAAGAAATTGCAGTATGGCCATCCCCCTGGGGGGTGATTTTTCACTTTCTGTCTCTCTGTCTCTGGGGTGAGTGCCCACACCCTGTAGCAAAAATCTCAAGAAAAACAAAGATTCTTTTGAAATATCAACAACCAAACCTCCTTTCATGGAGCCAAAAATTAACCTACCTTCCAATAATAACTGCCATTCAGATGGAAATTTACAATGAATAGAGCAGATTCATATTCATACCTGATTTAATCCTCTTTTACCTATTTTACATGCAAATATACTGAGGCTCTGAGGACTGATGTGATTGGCCTATAGTTACACAGCTCGAAAATAGCAAGGCCAAAATTTAAGTCCTTTCTTAATTCCAACTCCCCTTCTCACTATGCCCCACCTGTAGTCTGTAGTACTCTGAAGTTCTGTAACCCTGGGCTTTACAGTGAGGAGCCACAGCCTCATCAAAGGCCTCTTGGATGGATTTTCTGCTTTTAAAGACATTTCATGGTGTCCCTTAAGCCCCTATTTCAAATTCACAGGTCCCAGTCACAGCCACTCGATCACCACTAACACCTTCCCAGCCTGGGAAGCTGTGGTGGACTAGCCAATAAGATCACTGAAAATGAGGCCCAAAGACTCTGGTTGGATATGCACTGTGTCACAACAGAGGGTTCGCATAGGAAGAAAGAAAAATACAGAAAAGAAAAAAGAGATATGCTTTAACGTTGCTCACTTATTTAGCTGTATATCTTGATGTTATATTTCTGAAAGACATTCAAAGTTTCATCTTCCCAAGTAGTTTTCTAACATTTGTCTCATAACATTTTATAAGATACAGAGCCTTTGTGTGTGTGTGCATGTATATCTATATCTATATATCTATATCTATATCTGATCTTACCAATCCTCACAATAGTCTTATGAATCATAGAGATCCTTATTTCCATTTTAAAAATCAAGCCTTACAGAGATTTACTAACCTGGTCCATTTGTTCGCTTAGTAAATGACCCCAGGACTTGAGCTCAGGCCCTCTGATTTCTAATGTGGTGGTCTTGATAGTAAACCTAGTCCAGAATTTGTATGACTGAGCATCACTGGCTTTCCTTGGCCACACTCCCCCTCCATATTAGAAGCCTTTTTCTTACATTAACAAGTCTTCAAGGCAATATTAGTTAACCATATATTATGCCAGCATAAAGGATCTTGGACCCTGAGTCATTTAAAAGAATAGCTTCAAAAGAAGTCATTTAACACATTCATACAAACTGTTTGTCTTAAAATCAATAATCACCTGATAGTTCAAATAATTTGCTCATCAAACAAGTTGAGTTTCTGTCTTCTATGAGGCATTGTGCTAGACACCTAGTTAAATAAATTTTGTTGCAAGTTTTCTCAGGTTCACATTACCTAGTATAATACCTGGCACATTAATAAATGGTAACTATTATTTTGAGGTGGGTAAGTAGATTGTGTACGTATATATAGTATATGCAGAATCAGATGTATCTGGTTTAGAATCCTAGCTATGCATCAGTTATGTGACCTTGAGCAAGTCACATCTTCTTTGTTCTTGTTTTCCTCACTTGTGAAGATGGTAGAACAACTGCTACCTTGCAAATTGCTATCAACATAGGGATTATATATAAAAAGCACCTACTACAGTAGCCAAAATATAGTTTTCTGTAAATGATGGCTTGTTATTGAGGATTGAGTCCTAAGTTGCTGCTTTCACTAAGCTCAGTTTAAGCTGTTATTAGCCTGGCCTAGTCGCACATGCATGGACTCTAAGGTGGAACTGTCTGTTTTGAAGACCTTAGCTGGCAGGTGCACTGGACCAGCAAAGATTTCTGAAATGCATTTTGCTTGAGCTTGTTCTCCCAGAGTAAACATAAGACTACATATTTACAGTGTGGATTGCTAAAAAATTACTTTGATTAGATTTTTTGAGAGATTTTGCTGTAGAGCGTGTACACTCGACAGAGAGACAGAAAGCGAGAAATCAGCACCCAGAGGGAATGGCCACACCGCAACCTCTTCTCCTACAGTCTCCTCTCGTGATTTTAAGCATGCATGCACACACGCCCAGTGTGAGTTTGAAGCTGCCAGGTCTAGGATTTGAACCACAGTCAACCCTGTGGGAGTCCAGCAACATAACCATTATGCCATCTGCTGGTCTCTCAAAATTGATTGGATTCTAATTAGAAAACACTTAAAATTTCAGAAAAACTCCCTTTGCTCCCTAACCTGTTTGGCATCTTTCAAAATCTGAGAATGACTATTTTTCCAAAACAGCCTAACATAGTGATCTATAGGTGTTGAAGGAATGCATGCTTAAGGAAATCTTTAGGGCTGAAGCTACTGGTTATCACTTGATAGTCATGATACTGGGGCAGGCTACTTCACAGTCTGGGCATTAGAGAGTTAAGTATTGTATTCATATTAGACCTAAAGGAAAACTAGTTCTCCACTTGCTGATGTGTGCAGTCTTTAGATTTGAGTGCTGAGCAGCTCTCCCTAAGGACCATTAATTAGTATTACAATCAAACTAAGTTTTCCCTATATTCCCCTCTTCGTTAGTTCTTTGGTATCTCAGAGAAGAAAAACAGCATCAGTATGGACAATTTCCTTGATACCTGTGTAGTTTAATCCTCCTTCCTCACATTTACATACTCTACTAGAAGCTCAAGAATCATTGGCTGAGGCTTTTCTTATTCGCAAGTTCCTCCTGCCACAGAGATCCAGGGTTCAGGCTCTCAAGCCTCTTCTCCAAGATACCTTGAGTGTTACACATTTGGACCCTGCTTCTTGTTTTCTACTTGAAAGGTCAGTCTCAGGCATTTTGTGCTACAAAAGGGCTTCAGGCAAAAAATACTCTGGAATCTGAAGCTCTGGCCTACCTGTAAGCTTGTCAGTACACAAGTTGTTTTTATAAGTATGGTGGGAGGCACAAGTCTGAAAATGAAGACTGCAGACAAAAGGGTGCTAGAAGGGACTGTAGAATCCCTAAACAAAAAGAAAAGGGAAATGGGCAGGTAGGAACCAACAAAGTAGAACAATATGTATGAATAGTGTAGACTTCAGAACTGAACCTGTGGCTGAGGAAAGCTGGTGACCGTGGTATTTCCTGAACTGTGACCGTCAACAGTGGAGGGGGAAAAACACTGGAGAAAAGAATCAGAAAAATTTTATTCTAGTCCTATTTAGATTACATATAAACTATATGACCTTGGTCAAGTCAGTTAACCTCACTGGCTCTCATGTTCTTTGTTGATCAAATAAGTGTCTCATCACCCCTGGGTTTATTGTGATCATTAATGAGGTCATCAACAGAAAAGTGAGAAGTTTTATCTAAATTTGAGGAAGCATTCCTAATGAGGTATATAGCAAAACAAAGGTTCAGATAATTCTGAACTGGTGGGGGGTGGGGGTGGGAGAAGAGAAAGAGGGTGCTGGTAGGGATGATCTCTGAATGCTGTCTTATAACTTTAAGCACTCACTTATTTAGAAACCTGCAGG